AGATGTTACATTAGTTACCCTATAGTACGTTAAGTTTAGTTATTGTTTTGAGAGCCCTACGATATGGCTTGTTAATTTCCTAACATGTCATTATGTTAGAAAGATGTTAAGTTGCAAGCATATTATGAATGCCAATCTAACCATGTATATTTGTGTAGTTATTGTTTGCTACTGAAATTCTTCCAAATCTCACCCTCCATTAACCAGCCTTAATAGATGTTAATGAGCAAGCTAGAGGATACATGAAGAAGAAGAACAAAGAAAGAAGAAAAGAAAGTGAATTGTGCTCATGTATTTAATGTAATCTATATGTTAATTTACATATAAACATGCCTCTCAATGTTATGTGAAGTTAAATAATGATAATGGCATGTAAGATTGAATATATGATGTATGAGAATGAATTATGTAATGTTGGCATGATTATGAAACAAGAAATAAATGAATATGTATTATTAATACAAGTAAGGGGGATAAGTTATCCCTAAATGAGCCACTAATTTATGACAGAGTAAAAGTGAGGCAAACTATTGAATCTACCCGTGAGATTTGGTATACTAGAAGTACACATCTAGAGCTTTAAAACAGGTGTTGTGTGCTAAGAATTATGACTATTCAAAGTTCAGGTAGAGAAATTAGAAAGTACAATTTTACCAAATAAACAGTAAAATTTCACAAATTACCTAGATGAATTGACAAGGGTTAAGGCTAGATTTATATTTTTTCCCTATAAAGAATTAAAAGAGCTTTAAATAGATACTTGAATTACCTCAATACAATTTTTCTATAATTAGTTATGAATTTTCAAAATTGAACCAAAAATCTGAAATTTACCAGTAAAGAGTAACTCGAGAAACAAATTTCAAATTTTCATTCTACGGGGTTGTTTCATGATCTGCTTGAACCGTTATGCTTTTAAATGCATACTAAAGGGGATAAATAGGAGGATGTTTCATTAACTTGATGTAATCTATCTCAAACTAGTGTAACCTAATAAAAACTAGTGTAACTTGTTAGTTTGGCAACTTACATTAGGTTATTTTGTTGTTTTCCTAGATGGAGTAGCGCTGAGAAAGATGGGAGAAAGGAAGGACCAAGAAGGAAAAGACAATATTGGTTAGTACTTGAGAACCTCCAAACAATTTTTTTTTTCACTTTTCCTGATTCGTGTCCTTCCATTTAAACCAAATAGACTTAATTTTGGATGGAGAAGGTGTTTTAGAACAGTTTGAACCTTGAAATGAAAATAAAGAATATGCTACCAGAGAGTTTCTTTCTATTGAATAGAGTCGAATATACCTGTTTGATTCTAATCTGATCCACTGATTCTTAAACTACTATTATCACGAGTGCGTTTTCATGCATATTTTGACTACAGTGGAGCTAGTTTGATTATTTTAGATTACTTGTGGCTTTTATCTCACTACTACAAGAAAAGTCCATTTTTGTCCCCTATTTTCGTCTGAAATTGAAAACAGATGAAAAAAGAGTGATATATTTGTCTAGTTAAGTTAAACAGACGAGTATAGGACCCAATACTCATCTAGTAGGCCATAACAGACGCGTATGGGCCTTCATATTCGTCTGGTCACGTGACGAGACAAATATTAATGGCCCATATTTGTCTAGCCACATGACTAGATGAATATGGGCCACCCATATTCGTCCGCTATGAATTAAACGAATATGTAGGCCCATATTCGTCTGGTCTTGCTGGCCAGACGAATATGGGCTTGTTTCTTACAGATCCAGATTTTTTTTCTAATTTGTACCCCCCATTAATTCCTACCAAAACCTTCTCTCAGCTCCTCACTTTGCATTCTCTCCTTCATTTCTCCCAGCCTTCTCCTTCATTCAAGTTGCCCCACCAACAACCCCCTCCCAACCTTCATTATCTTAGTGCCTCCATCCAATCGTCCCTACCCCGGTAAAAAAACCCCTACCCTAGCCCCCACTGTTACGCCCCCACTCCCTGTGTGCCCCCAAAACAAACCCCCTGCTTCCCCTACCCCATGCCCCCCGGGCCCCCTGCCTTTCCCCCACCCCCAATGCCCCCTAACCCCCATCCCCGACCCTCTAACGTGACCCTACCCCACCCCTGTATCCCCCCACCACCCATGCACTACCCCCCGGGTGTCACCTCTCCTCCTCCCCGCAGTGTTCCCCACCCAACAACACACACCCAACACTTCTTAGTGACACCCCCCAACGTAGGCAGCTCTCAGCCTTAAACCTAAGGTCAACTCCCCTCTTCCATTGCACATTTTCTTCCTCTCTTTTTTTCTCCTTTTTTACTCACATTTTAATTTGTTTCCTTATGTGCTTTCAGATCAGCTAGCTCACTGAATATAGTTTGCAGCTCTCCTTCATTTTCATTCTTCACTTCATAAGTAAGTTAGATATCCTGTCAAGGATTAATTGATTGTATATATTGTTTTTATTGCTATTTGATGAACCTGTTGGAATTTTTCATGAATATTGTATTGTAATTTAGATTTTGATGAAATGGAACGGAATTAAGTTTTTGATTTTATATTATTTGGCCTTTTGTTTTCATTATATCCATGAATTATGAAGAAGAAGTGGTTTTAAATGTTTTGTTGTTGTAGTTACGATGCTTGATAAAATGGCTATATGTATGAATTATATGAATTTGCACTGAAAACAATTAATAATGATTAGATTAAATAAAATTGTAAGTTTAAATAGAAAAATGCATCTTTTATATATTTATTGCAAAAAAAAAATTTGGATGATAAATTTTTTTTCTGAAAATGAATAAAATTAGCTTATGTACGGTGTCATGCAACATTTTTCATAAGTGCCAAATTGTTCATATTTAGATTATTCATCATGTAAACATTATCAATATTATGTTTATGTTAAAATACTGACTATGTAATTAATAAAATTTATTTCTTTGTTTATAAAATGTTTAATATTAGAAAATATTTTATTTCTTATAAAAGGTTTTAATTTATGTTCCTTATTTGTCAATGTTCTAACTTGCTTAATTTGCAAGATTAAATTGTTAAAATTAACTAAGTTGCTTTAATTTTTTTGGAATTGAGCTTAATAGAATTAAAGTATTGTTGATTTTGGTCTTGAACTAAATAAAATTATTTAGAATTGGTTTTGTTTTTAGTGATTTGATGAGCTGTCACCTTCATATGGGTTAACAGGAACATGATTTATTTTTCAACTTTATAATCACAAGGATGTATTAATATCAATATGTAATGTAAATTATGAATCCTATGACTCATTAATCATGCTGAAATTATCGATTAACATAAGGAAGACCCGGAATTTTAATCAGATAATGAAAAATTCCAAAGTCATCACTTTCAGAGTATTTAGTAATACAGGGAATAAAGCTTTTCACTTTTTTTAAGAGGAACTGAAACAATATTATTAGCCAATAAGATATAAATTAATAAAAAAAATCAATTTATCAAAAAAAAAATATTTTGTACTATTCAGATTTAACATGAATGGTAAATGAGATATACTTTAATTAGGATGTATTTTTTATCACGTAATTAAGATGTACTTAAAGAAGTAAAAATGGAAGAGGATTTGTTCCCAGTAGGTTAAAGTCTTAAAATGATTTTCAGCTTCGGTGATTGATTTGTATCCTCAAAGAATTAAAGGATTAAAAGAGGTTCCACTCGTGATAATGATCATGAGGGGAAAAAGTGATTAGAAAATAGAGGAAAAAGAGTGGATAGAGAAAAAGAGATTATATTTTTCTTTTCCCTTACAAAATGTCTCCATGATTGGAAAGTGATAAGATATTAAAATCTGAAAGATAAACGTGAAACCAAAAGGAAATTAGTGCATGATCAATGAAAGGGGAGCACGAAGAACCATTCACGTAACTCTGTCCCCGCCCCCCTCTCTGTCTCTATCTGTCTCTCTCTCTATATATAGAGAGAGAGAGCAAAATCTATCTATCTATATATATTTATGCAATATTAATCTTGATTTGGCCATTGTCTAGTTCAAAAGAGAGAATTTATCCATGTTCGAACTCTTAACATGAATTTCTTATACTTGACACAACATTCATCAGATTCCTGTACGCATCACTACTCGCAGAGAAACTTACTTTTTATTAACTCATTAGTTTTACTTTAAAAGGACTTTTTTTTAATCACTTAACTTTCAGTGCGTCATATTTATTCATTGTAAAACTAAAAAAAATTATAATACTAAATTAAATATTAGTAATATAATGTGATTATTTTTAATTTTTTACTTCCTCTTGTTCTAAATTTAAGAGTTAGATAACTAATTTATATATATATATATATTAATAAAAATAGTTAAGTTATTTATTTATGTAAAACACATGTTGGTTTTTCTAAAGTAACACTCTAATCTGTATTATAGGTTTGGTCTCAAATGTAACTCAAGGTTATTAATGGTTATTTTTCAATTTTACTTTTATCCCATTTCCATTGGAGAGAGAAAAATAGGAGAGAGATGTGTGAATAATTTGTAAATGTAGAGAAAGAAAATTTTTAATAAGAACAGATTTGAAAAATTGCATCCACTTAATGCATTCTTTAATGTGTGAGAATGAGTTACAAGTAACACATAATAGGAATAGAAGTTGTACCATATTTAATAATTTGCATTGGAAGTCATCCATTAATGTAAAGCCATATAAGAACCAAAAAAACAAAATTAATGTAAAGCCATTTAATTTTCCTTTTTTTCTTTTTGGCCAACGATGTAAAGCCATTTACTATATGCAATTGATAGGAATAATTTAGAAAAATTATAAATTTATAAGACAAAATAAATTAAAGTCTTATATTTATCCTATATTTATGACTAAAGAGAGTAGTAGTTTGATCATAAATTCGTTTGTAGGCCAAGTCAAAATGTAAAAGTTACAAGACTGGTATATGTCCGTGAGAATCTTTAGTGAGGATAACTTTTCTCTTAGCCAATAAAACTGTATGAATTATTAGCATACCAAGCTCTATATAATGGGAGCAGAAGGGAAATTACTTACCGAAAAACACAACATGGAGATAGAAAACCGACTTGAAGATCAACATTCGGAGCTCCCTAGAAGAGGAACATCCGTTTTCAAGACTTGTTCCAACGGACTCAATGCCTTGTCAGGTCTCTCTCTCTCCCCCCATCTCTCTGTGCTGATGTTTGTCCCTCGTCTTTCTTAGAACAAAATAATCCTTTCAGCAAATCCTTTCACCTTACCAAAGTTCTCATTCAAATCCGGTCACCTTTTAGCCCACAAAATCATCTACTATTCTTTCTTTCTCTCTCTTTCCGCCATTGCTCGTTTTTCAATTAGCATGCATGTTTTTATGCATTTTAAAAGTTCTATTCTTCTTTAATGAGGAAATACTGCAGGCATCAAAGTTCAGAGCTGCCAAAAACAATATAGTTACTTTGTAAAATTTGGATTACTAGATATTCCAAGACACAAAACACACACACACACAGAGTCACACAGAATAATTGATCACTAAGCATACTGAGTGGACACCAATGAAGAGGTCAAAAATTTAGAACTGCCTCTGTTGATCTGATCCATTTATTAACCTGTACAGTTTAGATGTTTAATTATAAGATGTTCAAAAACTGCATTTCTTGAGATCCTAACAATGGTGAATTGAAATTTTAGGTATTGGGATACTTTCAATGCCTTATGCAGTATCTCAAGGAGGGTGGTTAAGTTTAATTCTGCTACTTCTCGTTGCAATCCTCTGTTGGTACACAGGGATGCTTCTGCACAGGTGTATGGATGGACGTCCTCTCATCAAATCCTACCCTGACATAGGAGAGGAGGCTTTTGGGTACAAAGGCAGAGCCATAATATCAATTTTCATGTACCTAGAGCTTTATCTAGTGGCCACAGGGTTTCTTATATTGGAAGGTGATAACTTGGAGAAGTTATTCCCAACCATGAGCTTTAGAGTTTGTGGCCTAAGAATTGTAGGGAAACAAGGCTTTGTTCTTCTCACAGCCCTAGTGATACTACCAACCACATGGTTCAAAAGCTTAGGAGTTTTGGCGTACGTTTCTGCTGGTGGTGTTCTGGCTTCAATTATTCTCGTTGGTTGTGTAATGTGGATTGGAGCTTTTGATGGCATAGGATTTCATGAAAGAGGAAAAAAGGTCAATTGGGGAGGATTGACTACTTCAATTAGCCTCTTTACGTTTTGCTATTGTGGCCATGCTGTATTTCCAACCATACGCAGTTCCATGAAAGAGACAAGGCAGTTTCCCAAGGTAACAAACATGTACAAAATTTATAAGATTAGAAAACAGAAAATTTTTAATCACAAAAAAAAAAAAGGAAAACAGAAAATTTTAACTAGATTCCCTTATCATCTTTAATAATTATACACTCTCATTTTTGTTTTTACATTTGTAGATAGAATTGAATCACTTATTTTGTTCAATTGCAGGTTCTGCTTGTTTGCTTCATCTTAAGCACCATAACCTATGGACTAATGGCCATCACAGGATACATGATATTTGGAGAATATTCGAAGTCTCAAGTGACCTTAAATCTTCCAACAAGAGAAATAAGCACCAAAATAGCAATATATACTACATTAATTAATCCCATCACTAAATATGCAATTATAATAACTCCAATTGCCAATGCTATTGAGAGCAAAATGCCATTTCATAAGAGGAGTAGGCCTATTTGCATAATCATTAGAACAAGCATTTTGATAAGCACAGTACTTGTTGCTTTATTCATTCCTTTTTTTGGATACCTCATGGCTTTTACTGGTGCTTTCTTGGGTGTCACTGGCTCACTATTGCTACCTTCCTTGTGTTACCTAAAAATCAATAAGGCAGCTCAAAGATTTGGTTTTGAGTTGATTATCATTATAGGGATTCTGCTGATCGGACCATTCATTGCTGTGATGGGCACCTATAACTCTATGAGGCAAATAGTGAATCATCTTCAGAAGCCCTGAACTGAAGGCCTCTAAAAATATATTTTAGTAACTAATGTAATGTGTGCTACCCTAACTAATGATGTAAATATAAATGCAAGATTGTTGTGTTCTATGCAATATAAATTTTACAAAGATCAAGAAATACGTGTAACAACTATTGCAACTTGTTTCAATAACTAGGTATAAGAAATTATGCAAGTACTTGCTGAAACTAATGCTAGCTTCCCTCCATAATGCCTTTTGACACGCCTCTTTGAAATAGTTTTTGGGCATGATATATATCTAATATAACTAGAACTAGAACATCCTAAGGCATCAAATTAATGAATATGAAGTCTGAGTGTGTTCCCATTTAATATAAGAATCTAGAATATATGGTGGAGGTTTAATTGAAAAGCAAAAGAACCCCACTTTTTTGGGAGATGACATGGAAACAACATATAATTAATGTAACAGGGCCCCACTAATATATATTGTCGCCCTTAATGACTTCACTTTGGAATGTCCACTTAGCTTTATGTAATTTTATATTATACCAATAGTTTTTTTAGATCAAATGATGTCATCCTCTCTGACATTCTAAGTGGCACCCAAGTCAGTATCCAAGTTAGTGACGAAGGTGGCATTCTACTTGACAACTAAGTCATATGTGGCAATTTTAATCATCAAGATAATTACTCTATCATTCAAGTGGAGGAAAGCCAAAGATAGAAGAGGCATATTCAGGAGATTACAACATGTATGTGCACCTCAAATCAACAAATTGAGGGCATATAACACTAAGATACACTTGGAGGAGGTATTTGGACCATTATGTTTCATATTTAGGTCAAACGCAGGTTTTAATATACTAGAATGCATAAGGATGAATAATAGTTAAAAGATTCTTCATTGGCTTAAAAATTTGCATGAAGTTAAAAGAAGAAATACTTGAAGATCCAATTGCTTGAGGTTATTTTGTGTCTCAGTCATTTTATTTTTTTTCTCTGTAATTTTAATACTTAAAAGAGTTGTTTAAAATTTTTAGTTTTGTCCATTTGATTAGGCGTTTGTTAAATTATTTCTATTTTTGTACATTTGATTAGACGTTAGTTGAATTATCTTAGTTATAGCTGTTTTTGTCATATCTTATTGTAGATTTACTTATGAGAGTTGTTTAGCCATTTACAAACTGCTAGTGACCTAAAGGTACCCTATAGAAGGTGAAACATTCAAAACCTTTGCTTAAAACTTTGAATATTATTTGATTTATTTCTTTTATTAGAATGGAATTTTGTGAAGAACTTTAAAAATTAATAACTAATTCAATTTTGCTTCAAAATTAGTGGTTTGAAGCTCTAAATTAAGGTCTTAAAAGCTCTTTAACGGAAAAATAAGACCAAAATTTGCGATTTGAAGCTCTAAATTAAGGTCTCGCAAAGCTCTTTCAAGAAAAAATAAGACCTAGGTTAAGCTTTGTCTCATTTCATTCAGCAATTTCCCAGTTTTCTGATTCATGTTAGGAAAATTATATATTTTAATTTACACATCCAAAAATTTTGAAGTAGGACTCACTTTAAAGCTCTATATGTGTGCTATGGTAAAATTTCAGGGTTTAACTTGCTCATTTTCTCTATTAAATGGCGTTTCCATAATCATAGCGCAAACTAAAATCGCATCTACCAACCGCCCATTCTATGCATTTTAGCTATGCTTCTCACATAGCACTTACCTAAATTTCTGCTTGATTCTTGTTTCTGCTTATGGAGGTTAATTACATGCCATCACATAAATCTAACTTAAACAAACACACACACGCACACATGTGAATATATATATATATATAAACAGCCACGAATCAGTAAATGGTAATTAAAATAACAACAACCAGGTGGTTTCCTTGAAGTTTCCATCATCTTGAAATTTCCTCCACAAACTTTTTCTTTCCTTTCGAGATATTGACTCCTACTGTTGGTACACCGAAGAAAGGGGGTCATATCCAGGGAAATTTCAGCAGTAAAACATCTACCCAATATAATATATAGATATATATATATTGTAAGAACAACTTATAAGCAGATACCCTTGGCCACAACAAAAAAACTCAAGTGAGGATATTACATGTTCAAAGGCCTAGTTACGGCATGCATAGCATATAAACATGTAAGCAACTAAGCGCAAACTAAATAAGTTTCACTACATCTTCAGCTTCCTCCTCTTCGGTTGCACCTCTTTCTAGACCCCTTTCTTTGTGTTTCCTCAATAGGCTTGGGCACAAATCAAAACCTATGAATTATATATGTATAGGGCAAATTAATTTACATATGTAATATACCTCAATAGCATGTTCAATCTCCCTCTTATTTCCATGCCCTAACCCCTTAGTTTAACTCTTCAACTTTGTCCTTGTTACTTCAATATTTAACTTGACTTTTCTCTTAGCTAAGCTCCTTCTTGCCCAATCAGCTGCTGCACAAAAACAGGGAAAATACAAATTCATATATTCCAATCCCGTTGTTACTAAATAACATGTAGAAACCTATAGGCCTGAATTATACATGATTCCATGATTCAAGAAATTCATTCCACATTATAATACTTTAAGCAGGTGCTACTTTTTTCCATTTCTAATTTCCCCAAGAATTCAATTTCAATAGGATTTGTGTCTATTAACTTGCAAGCACTATTATCCTCTAATAATTTGATTAGCATCACATGTGTTTTTCGACAAATTCTCAGCTTTCAAATTAGCTTGTAACCCATCATTTTATATCTCCACATATGCTTTGAGCACTTAGGACCATTATTTAACTTAGGAGGGCATCAAATACTAGACTGAGACATAGAGGGTTTAATTCACAAAAATTCCAATTGAGGTATATCACATTCCAACTTGAATTATTTTATTTCTTTTTATTATTTTTTTTTTAACATGATCTCAAACAATTTCCCCATATAAGTTCATTAAAGTCATCAAACAGAGTCAAATTCAACTTCCTCTAGCTAAAACAATGCTGTCCGAAACAGGGGAGAAGGAGAGAATTTATAAATTCAAGCTCCATTTCTACACACTATTCTCTTTTAAGTTCATTGAGGCATTTGTATTCACCAAACTTTAACTCCCTCTAATTAAAACTATGCTGTCCAAAACAGGGGAGAAAAAGAAATTCATAAACTCAGAGTCTAACATTCCAAAATGCCTCTTTAATAGGTTATATGTTGATATTCTTCATGCCAATACTATTTAGTACATAATAATTTCTAAGGACTATCTTAGCCCTTAAGGATCTCGGCCAGCACTCAATGTTCACTTCCAAAATTTTCCAGCTTCGACATGATTAACACCATCCTCTTGGAATTTCTAGGCATAATCTTGACCATCGTCAATATATATTTGATACCCAATGGCGTTAGTAGCAAACTGGTACGCATTTTTTTTCGCGGCTTCAACAATTAAATTCCATCATGCCATAGCGTTTGACGCACACAGTTATATTCTTATTCATGTTTATGGACACTTGAGCATCTCCCATCTCTGAGCTTTTGACGGCCAATCTATAGAGTGTGTGTGGATTAGCAGCAGCAAAAGTGTTTTTCATTCCATTTGACATTTGCAAACTTAAATTAGAGTAGAAGCCAGTTAATATAATGTAATTTATGGTTGAATTGCTTTTTGCAAAAAAGTCAATTTGACAAAATAAAATTGTTTAGAAATGCATTTTAAAAGAAGATTTAGATGTAAAATGATGGAAAAAACATAGGTTTTATAATAATATACTACCTTTGGTACTTAATATAAGAGTTGGTTGATTAATTTGAATAGATTAAAAAAAACTAGTTAAGTTAGTTAATTGTAATAAATAGGTGTTTTTCTTTTTAAAATATTCTTGCTAATCAAGTGTATTGGCTAGAACTATCATTATTTTAAGAACTATTTTGAAAAAATAGATAAATATGAGAGACAAAGTGGATTGAGATCTTAAAATTAGAACTAAAATAAAAGTCAAATGAGCTCTTATACTAAAGATCGAAGGTAGTATATAGCATATATAATTTGATAATTTTAAGAAAATATTCAAATTAAAATTAAAAATTGCAAAAAAAAAAAAAGGAATTAATGTATTATTAGAAAAAATTATAAATACAAAAAAAACAATTAATTAGATGTAGTTAATAGATAAAAATTAAATATAAATTTTGAAAATTTACATTTAAAATTAAAAATATTATTAAAAAGTATGCTGAAAGGTTAACAGCAATTGACAAGCCCAAAATTAAAAGCCTAATATTAAATTAGAGAACATAAAAAAAAGTAGTTATAAAAGAAATAAATAAAAATAAAAATATTAAAAAGGAGAAGCAGCGTGCGGTGAGGACAAGCCAGAAAATCTGTCAAGATGTGAGAAAAGACTAGAGAGGACAAAAATCTAAGGGCAGAAATTGAAGGACATGGAAAAGCAAGCTGGAGGAGAAGCACGGGACATTAAAAGCATGAAAAATTAGCTTCAACAATACCATGCTTTTTTCTCAAAAATTAAATGGAGAAAAGATGACCAAACAACCCTTCATTATCAAACACACCATCAACTGATGTTGAGTGATCCGGACGCACCTTCTCTTATCCGATATATATAATTATGCTAATGCCGATTAATCCACATTTTCTAAACACCCCCCCGCCCAAAAAAAAAAAATCATTTTTATTCCTGAGCCAAACTTCACAAGCAGCGGCGTTAATCCACACGCAACCTCATTACCTCTCGCATAAAACTCCTAATCCAAGCTTAGGTTATGATTTTCCATTAATCCTAAGTTCTCTCCCTCTAGGGCCACTTCTCTCTTTCCTGAAACCAGCAGAAACTTCAGTAATAGAGGAAGCAAAAGGTAGAATAGCACTTAGGGGGATTACCTTAGCTATCAGTTGGTACGAAACATTAAAAATGAGAGATCTGGATTAAGATTGAAATTGAGAAAATAGTGTTTAGCATGAGAGATTGCTTATTATAGAAGATTAGACAAACCTATGTATTTGGGGTTGAGGAATATCATGGGGAAAGTGGTACTCCCCAATCCTACTTCCATGGGTTTGTCTAATCCCATGTAACAAGCAATTATTCATGTTAAAGATTTTTTAATGATTTTCTTTAATTGCAATCATAGTCCGTTACCAGAAAAAAAGCTTTTCACGGCGGTTAAA